TGAATGTGACAAAAATTACATTTTTCTTTTAAAAAACAAATTATTGTAAGCCACTGTAAATACAGTGATGCACAACTTCAGAGGCTTTGAAAGTAACCAAATTCCAGCTAGGAATCCATTATCAGGCCACAATACTGCTATATCAAAAGTGCATTATCAACATTAATGCCAAAAATGTGAAGATGACTAAGTCATCGTTTTCCCCAAGATTTGAGCCCCATATTTAAATGTGTAAAACTTCACCTAGAGATTAAACCAAGCTGAACACTAAAGCAAGTGAGACACTATTTTAGCCACTGGTTATAATTGTAGATTTTTCAATGACAAAATCCATCACGGCACAAAAACATTTTTTACTAAGGCAGTGGCACTGTATTGTTCAGCATAACTGTTTTAGGTGATAGCAAACTGCATAATCCAGATAAGATCCTACACATAAAGATTCCCAGTAAATTATTCTTCCCTGAACAATAGTTCTGGATCTTTAAGCTAAATTGTGTATCTCTAAGCAAGGTTGTAGTGAGGTTAACTTAAATTCTGCAGTATTCATAATACAAGAGCCTAGAAACAGAGGTGGCTTCAACTACATTTAAAAATGGAGGGATTTACCAAATTAAATATAAAAATTAATACAAACATTCCAGGTTTTGAATCTGGCTAAATTAAAAATAAAATTAGTTTACCAACAATTTTATATTGAAGTTGCAAGACCACATCATAGAAGATGTCAAGAAATCTGAAGTTTCTGGAAGCTCCGCAGGGGACAGTTCGGGTATATGGTACTTAAGTGTGGGGAATGATTTCAGATTGTGGGATAGGCTCATTATTTGGATATTACTGCTAAAATGATCAGTAGTGAAATAGTTAATGCGGGCATTTTAGTTATTAGATTGCAAAGGAAATGAATAATGCTCACTGCATCACATTTGGGAGGTTTCTTTCACAACCATAAGGGCTAGAAACTTACATTTTTTAAAATAAAAGCTCAGATTCTGAAGCTAATTTTGCATCCTTCTCTCCCTCCCCTCCTCTCCCCCCAAAAAATAAATCACAGAACACACTGAGCTCTGCTTAGTAATAGTAACCTGAAATTATCATATTCTAATTGTGACCGATTGATGGATAGGTCAATTAACGATAGTATCAACTGCCCAGAAATGTCTTCTTTAAAGTTCATGTACTCCTAATAATGACGACTTCAGATGTGGAGTAAGTATCAGCAGTAGCTGAACTCTTAAAAAAAAATCCTGTTTGCAGGGTACTCTCTTTAGAAAGACATGTCATTATAGACAAAATAAATTCTAGAATTAACATTTTCAAAGTTGTCTCAAAAAATACCAGCTGCTCTTTTAAAAACAGATTGGGTTGCCATAATGCACCATTAAAAGAGTTGTAACAAGAATAACCTGGGATTTTAGCATCTCCATTTATCCAGATCACTGGTTCTTGAACCATAGTCCAGAGAGCACTTGTTAGTCTATAGAGATCTGGCCAGTCACATGGTGCTGGCTCCTGTATCTTACAGAAGCAGCTGGAAAGAAGGAGCCAGTGAAGCTGCCTCTATTAGAAGCCACTGCTACACAAAGAAACAAGCTTCTCTCAGCAATGAGAGCCACCAACAGGAGAGAGAATATCCAGCAGGATGGGAACCATGCAAGTGGGCAGCATGTGCAGGGGAAGAGGAGGAATGGTTAAAGAAAAGAGCAAAGGAAACTGTGGAATTAATCCAAATACACTCCAAACACAATATTTATTAAAATCAGATTATTTATTGCATATTAACTAATATTACTATGTGTAAACTATCACTTTCCTTTGTTTTGAATTAATAATAACTGGCAAATAATGATACAGTCACTGTATTAACAAATAGTCTATACCATAAGAAAGTTAGAACTTATCTATTTGATGAACATTTATTCCTAGTGTAGTTATTCTAATTTGTGGCACACCCATAACAGCAAATCTGCTCATAATAAGCCACACAAGCTAAATTCCTACTATTATATAGACACCTTTCAAACTTCCATTCCACTCAAACTGATGTAGTGCCCTGGATCTGATATTAAAGATACCTGAAAATAAACTAATCATGAAACACCAAAAGCCATTACACTTGAATAAGTATATAGTGAGCACATATTGTCTGCTCTCCATCTAAGTGTTTCAACCCAATCCACTCACAAATCCAAAGCTGGCATTTCCCTTGTTAAGATCACCATAACTTTCTGTGAAGGGGAGTCAAATGACACTTTCTCTATGGGAAGTCCACTCCCCTAACAAATTCCTTCTCTGTTTTTCTTAACATGATGTTGCTTCAAACACATGCACCAAAAGATATACAAACTTAAAACTTGTCCCTCCCTTCTAATATATGACACTTTAACTTGATATTGATTCATTTGTGACTTACTCTTTCCACAGAAAACCCATCAAGATTTATTTTCAAACAATTTTTTCCTTTAAGGCTATAATGCTTAGTCACTTCTCAGTCCCCCCCCCCAGTTTCAAATTGCCTGTCAAGTTGCCCAACATCTCCGAACCAAGCATTCTGTTTGTCTTTGTCCTTTAGAACCATTTTAATAAGGACATCTGTCTCAGTCTGGTTTATCAAAAAAAAAAAGCCTCTATATAGATTTGCAGCCCTTTCAAAAGTAGCACGTTGTAAAATATTCCTACGACTGAAGAGGCAGAAGAAAGGGGAAAAAATAGCTGGCGGAGGAGCACAAACACCATTTGTGTGCTCCCCTTGAGCCCATCACATGCCATTCTCCACATCATTTGGAGTTTCCAAGTTAATTGTTTTATTACATAACTTTAAACATAAAGCTAATCCCAGAGCAAAACAGCCCGGTCACCGATATGATATGGCTCCGACGATACCAAGGAGTCATAACCACAGCTCAACCCACCTGCCACAAAGGCCATTTCCTCTGCTTTCTGGAGAGGGGGAAGCGGCTCAGACAGCAGGGTGATGGGCGGGGTAAAATGGGAACACCCCACTGTGTCCTTCAGCTCGCCCAAGCGCGAGCCTGGAGCAGGATGCGCCTTGCGGTCACATCGCCCCCCATCTACCAGCCTAAGGGCTACAGACCCACCCGCCCCCGCTTCGCTAGCTCTGGAGAGCACTGCGAGGCAGATCGTAACAGTGGCTGAGCTCTGAGAGGCCGACGCAGCCAGATCCCCGACCCCAGGCACACGCGCGAAGGGGAGTGGGGCCCAAGCGGGGATCGCAGGGCGAGGGAGAAGAGATTCCGCCGCCCCAGCCCCACAGTATCTGTCACCTCACGCCGCCGAGTATGGGCCGCCCGCCTGCCTGCTCACCTCGGGCAGGGGACTCCCCCGGGAGAGGGGGGGGGTCGGATACCCGCCGAAGTAAACCAGCCCCCGCCTTCCCTCAGCCGGATCCGGGCGGAAAGTTCCTCGTCTTCCCGACCTGACGCGGCGCCCTGGGCAGGGGCGTCCCGCAGGAACCGCCTCGGCGGGGGCGGCGGGAGCTGCATCCCCTCCCCGCGGCAGCACCTGTTCCCATCACCCCGCTCCGCAATGGAAGTTACCCGGGGAGACAGAGCCAGCCGTGCGCCACAGCCTCCGCCGTGCGGGATCCCGGGGCGGGCGGAGCCCCGAGCACCATCGCGTGGGACTCACCGCGGCGCTCTCCCGCGCTGCTCCGTGGCCGGCCCGGCCCGTCGGGGCCCAGGGCAGCCGGAGGCCCCGGCCGGGATGGAATCCAGCAGCTGGACCCCCCCCGGGGCGCCCGAGTCCCGGGCTCCACGCTGCTGCGTCAGCGCCTCCGCCGCCGCCTCCCCCTCCTCCGGAGCCTCCTGGCTGCGGGATGGGGATGGGGGCGCCCCCTCGGGGCGCTGCGATCAGGCTCCGCCCGCCCGCCGCGGCCGCCCCGCGCACACAGGCCGGGAGCAGGCGGCCGCTACGGCTGGGACAAGAGGCTCCTCCGCCGCTGCCGCTCGGCTCTAACTCCCCGAAAGCAGCAAGCCCCTCCGTCCTCCTTCCTGCTTCCTCGTCCGCAGCCAATCAGCGCCCTGCCCACCAGGCCGCTTCTCCACAGCGCCAATCACACGGGCCCCAGCCAGCCAATCCCCGCTCCGGCCACCCGCCCCAGCCGGGCCAAGCGCCCCCCCACCACAACCGGGTCCCAGCGCAGGAGGCTCCCAGCAGCCACGGCATGGCCACCACCGCCCCAGCGTGGGGGAGGGGCCAGCCACACGCGAGCCTCAGCATCCCCTGCGGAGCAGCGCTGGGCGAGCCCCTGACCCAGCCCACCTGCCAGCGTCGTAGGATCCCTTCCTCATCCCACACCCCACTGCACCCCCATCCCTGCCTGTATCCCCCTAGAGCCTCTTCCCAGCCCCTCAAGAAGCCCCCGCCTCGCCCCCGTTTCCATCCCAACCAGCCTACACGCGCCCTACATCCTGTCCCACCCCATTCACATTCTGCTGCCCTCTCTTCCCATCCCAAACAGTCTCCCCCCAGACACCTACCTCTCCCCAACCCACAGAATCCATTAACGAGACTCTCATGCCCGACCCACTGAAGACCATCGCCAGCCTGCCACCCACTCTCCCTCCTCCCCCCCGCCCTTGTGACTCTACACATCACTGAGCTTCCAGAGCCAGTCTCCCACCGTCCAGAACTTCCCTTGCTCTCTGCTGCACTCACCCTCATTCCCTCCCCATCCCAGGGCATGTATAACCAGGTCACTGACATTCCATGGAACCTTCACTTGTGCCTACTCCCCCTGCACAACTGCCATATTCAGGTCACTGACTCAACTTGTCAGTCAAGCTCTAGTACTTCCTCCCCATCCAGATGAGTCCTCTGCTGCACTCTGCAAAGAGAACTGCAAAGGCAGTTGATGATCTAGAATATAGTCTATGTCTTAAACTAATCCTACCTCTCTCACCTGGATCTAACAGAACTAATACAGCAATTGCTAGTAAATGAGACAGACCTGAAATAGAGGAAATCACAGCAACACTTACACCTTAAATCGGGTTCCCAAAAGGTGGCATGTGATCGGGTTGCATGCTGGCTTCTTTCCCACCTGCTAAAGAGAATTAAAAAGTAAAGATACACGAAACACCTTTCTCTTTAAACAACTGTAGTCACTTGGATGTTGTGTGATTGTAAATGAGAGGAAAGACAATCTGTGCCAATATTCATGGGAGGACAAGCAGTACACACAACAGTCTTTGTATTAAGTATGTCCTATACTATGAAAAAATGGAAACCTTTGGGTTAAATCAATACCTGTTGACCACATATTTATCTATTTATTCTATTAAACTAACCTCCCTCCAATGATTACTGCAATTCATAAACAGGCATAATATTAAATGCAATAATTATTAATGCACAGAAATCAAGCATTCACATATAAAGAAAATAACCAACATTAAGACTCCTAACACTGTCATATCCTGTAAAATATATGATTATAGGTTACACAGTAATATGATAAGGTTTGCAATTCAGAAGGGAAATTACAGTAGAAAATACAATATCTGAATAATCTGCCTAAATTAACATTGTAGTAAAACCTTAACTTTTTGATTTTGTGACTTTAACATCACATCAATGCTAATTTTTGTGATTGATTCTCTATCCCAACTACTGACAAAATTCACAGTGCACTTTTACCCAACACCTTAAAGTGAGGTGTCTGTAACTAATGAATTCTTTAATCATGATGTCCTTAATTGATGGCCTCTCCTACACACCAGCATCCTAACTAATACATCCTCTCCAAATATAACTAAATATTCAAATATGTACGTTAATCAACTGAACAGAGGAAAAATACACTTTCCTTTAACTGAAAAAGATGGAACAATTGTGTTAGAAACTCTCAAAATTCATTTTTCAGCCGAGACCAATCTTTGAAAAAATTGAGCCATAAAGAGAAAAGAAAAGTTAGTTCAGGAAATGTATAAAACAATTGGAAAAGCAGCAGTAGCATAGAAACTGGAATTTACCCATAAATGGAGCTACTAGCAACTCCTGTACAGATAAATAGCAATGAAACACCTTTACCAGTATTTACATTGCAGTGTCTTCAATATAATCACGATTCTTCACAGCTTTCCCCATTTACATTGTTTCCCCTCTCCACTGAAGGTATAGATCAGATTACTTTTCTCCTGGTACATAGCGTGGCAGAACAAATGAAGATTATGCTGCTGCCTATACAGATATTTGTAAACTCAGTTGTGCAAGCATGAACATCTGAGGATAGGAATGGACTCCTGGATGCTGTGGAGAAATATGAAGACAGGAAGTGTTATAGAAAACCATTCTCTGCTGTCCTATAGCCATCTCTAGGAACCCATTTTCTGGTTCCTCAGTTACCAGTATACTAGCAGTATATAACACTGTCATTATAGCACATATAAAGGCATAAACTCCCTCTTTGAGAATTAGATGGCAGGTGATTGTGACCTCTCAGAAATGAAAGCACAATGAAAAATTCTCCCTTATTGGTTTATTGGCACAAACTCCTTTTGTAAATAGTATTGTAATTCAGTATCAGCAAATTTCCTATTCTTTCAGGGGGAAGACAGTTTTAAATATTACCTAGGAGGGACCAACTGCCACAGAACCTCACACCCCAATATTCCATACATCCTCCCTCTGAAGTATCATATCAATAGTAAAGGGAAGGGTGTCACCCCCATATGTGAATTGTGACATAAGGGGCAGTTTCTCTCCTCTTCCAGCCATGGAGACAGTAAACACATCAGTTAAGAGTCTGTTTTATACACGTTTTAGTGGAAGTATTGCTGTCACTAAGGGCTTGCTTTTGTAATTACCTACAGCTATTCCACAATAGGATGATCCTACCTCACAAATCCCTTTTGGTTTTTAAAGGAGAAAAATATATATTTTTAAAACTTTCTTTGTTATTACCAGACTCAGCACTCACCCTACGGTGGGGCACCAGGGACAAAGGGCTTTCTAGGACCAGCTCATGGAGCCAGCCCTGGGACTGGCCATCCATTGCGAGCAGAATGCTTGTTCAAAGCAGTGGTACTTAGTTGCAGTATCCAGCCTGGGTGGGCTACAAGAAGGAAATTATGCCCCCCCCCCAAAATTATGCCCCTCTGGAGCCAGTACCAGGGCCTTAACATGGATAGTCAACTTTCTACATGTCTTTTCCCATTCGTGGCCACTCTAAACACAGAGGGTAGGATTTCCCAACAAGGAGACAACGGTGATGGGGAGCTCTCTACTGAGGAGCTGTAGTCAGAGCCACATAACCTGTGATTTACCAACTGGAAGTTATGACAAGCAAGGTCCATTTTCTCAAAAATAAAATCTGTGACTTTCACTGAAATTAGGGAAGGAAATATATGCTCCCTGATTTCCACTAACTCCCACATCTTGAAACTTATCCATCAGCTTTAACATGTTTGCCATTCATTTAACTCCCACTACAGTAGTCTGCAGTTCAGGAGGACTTTGGGAAGCAAGCACATGCCACATGGGATAATCCAATCACAGTGTGAGTGTATGTCTAAACAGACAGCATACACCAATGAACACACAGTCAACTAAGCCTTAAAAAACTAGGTTAAAATAACATTTACAGATCTGGTTGGAATTTAGCAAAACCCAAGTAAATTTAAAAGGCTGAAATACTCTCTTCTCATTAGACCTGAGTACTGTGTAACCCATAATGGCTGATCCTTCATACAGTGTTTTGAAATCCTTGCTGTGCTTGAGTTAAATGGGCTGAGAGGTAAAGAGAACATTTCAAACAATTGGTGATCTGTTTTCTGAACTCATTCCTAAGGCAGTTTGTGTAGATATAAAATTCTTTTAAGACACAGCTTTGGAACCTTCTGTTTATTCACCTACCTGCCACTTCCATGAAAAAGCACAATTTCTCTCAGCAACCAGGATTTGTAAGCTACTGATAAATTCTCTACATGATGGTAAAATAATTGTATGAGTCTACCATACAGTTGAAAGCAATGATTTCACACAGTACCACGTACAATGGATTAGAGTAGGGTTCCAATATAATTTTCAAGGTTAGCCATCTCCGGAGCAAGTGGTCAGCCAATACTAGAGGCTACTCTTCTGAACAGTGACTCAGCCACTTGGACCTAGCATACTAACAAACTACCATGAAAACTAACCAACATGCTTTTGGACTGAGGTCTGATAACTGGGGATATGAGGCCTGACTGAAGTTTAATTTGAAACGTGGCCTCTCCAAGCAAATAAATGTACACTGCCTGTAACCATGGTACAAAAGCTAGAGGTGAGGCTGTCTGAAAAATTTGCTATTATCTTTGATAAATCTTTTTCAGCTGTTGAGAGCCACAGGGGATGAGCAGTAGCAATTGGCCTTCATCTAATAACCTAGCCATCTTTGTAAGATCCTCGTGTTTTGAGATTCTCAGAAGACAGGATCTGTAGAAAAGCACAGTGTTAATACTAAGGGCATGTCTTCCCTACTCGCTGGATCAATCACTGAGCACTCTCCCGTCTACTCCAGTACTCCATTAAAATTAGAATAGTAAGGAGAGTCAACAGAAGAACGTCAGCTATTGACTTACCACAGGGAAGATGCTGTGTTAAGTAGATCTAAGTACGTCAGCTTCAGCTGTGTTACTCACGTAGCTGAAGTTGTGAAACAGATTGACAGCCGGCTGTAATGAAACTAGTTGAGTTTTCTACTCCTTTAAAGGTAGCATTAAAATAGAAAACAATTCACAGAAGCATATGGGAGATGATAGTGCAGCCTATGAGTACTTAATGTATATGCAAACTATTTACTCAGCAGACCGCAATCATTGTAAAGGAATACTTATGTAGATCTGTAAGCTTACTGGAGAGTTGATTTCCAATGTGAGAGCATGCAATAGCTCCTCAATTGGATCAGACTTTTCAGAGTCACTACCGTTTTCAGACTTGCTTCCTTTATGCTTAGCAACTTTATTGCACTTCTGCATTTAAAGAAAGATTGGTGCAGAGAGTGGGGAAGAGGTACTATTAAAAACCATTTCCATTATATCTTTATTTCACTACTTCCCTCAAGAGTCCTGTATCAAAGCAACATACCCTCAGGGCATTCAGTTACCTTCAAAAAACCCATCAATGCTGTCGGCTAAAGGGAGTCACCCAAAGGTAAAGGGTTTTACCTGTCCCTGGGGACTTAGTGCTGCCTATGCAATGCTCCCAACCTGAAGAGTGAGGGAGTCAATCTTTCAGGCTATGTCTACACTGGCCCCATAAAACGGAATAGTCATGCAAAGCAGGTAAGTCAGAATAGGGAAATCCGCGGGGGATTTAAATATCCCCCGCGGATTTAAATAAACATGTCCGCCGCTTTTTTCCGGCTTGGCGAAAAGCCGGTAGGAATAAGAGATCCTCCGGAAAAGGGCTTTATTCCGGAGGATCGCGCCAGTCTAGATGCTTTTTTCCAGCTTTTCGCCAAGCCGGAAAAAAAGCGGCGGACATGTTTATTTAAATCCGCGGGGGATATTTAAATCCCCCGCGGATTTCCCTATTCTGACTTACCTGCTTTGCATGACTATTCCGTTTTATGGGGTCAGTGTAGATGTAGCCTCAGAGTCAGCAGTATATTTTACCACTGGACTACCAAGCTGTCCTATACATTTTTAAAACAGGCTCTCTTTCCATAAACAGCATATTAACTAAGGTACTGGTCAAAGGCAGAGCAAAGAATCTAACAGTGATCTCACTTTACTTTCCAGAATCACTGTAACAGCTTTGCAAGCTATACCACTGTGATTTCAGCAGCTAGGGAAAGTCACATCTGGTCAATACTTGGATTGAAAACTGTTGGATTTGGAGATGATCTGAAATAATTTCTTACTATGAATACTGTCTGTTGACCTCATTACTGGGATGTACACTGTGTGAATATATTGGTTTATTTTGATCAGGGGCTGTAAGGGGGGAAAAAAGCAGGTAGAAAAGAGAATGGGGCAAATCAGACCATTTCTCAACAAATACTCGAGGGTTAAGAGACATTACCAATTCCAGGAAAAGGTGTGTGCATACCACAGATCAAAAGGACCACACCAAGCTAGAAAGACTCTCTCAAGAGAGGAGGGAGCTTTTTGCAGTAATCAGGATGAGACACAGGCAGCTAGGGTTGCCAGATGGTTTCAACAAAAATACTGGACACAGTTGACATTACATGACAATCTATATTACATCTTATTTAGAAAATACCGGACATTTATATTTTCTCAATTTGTTTCCCCAAACAGAAAGCTCAAATACTAGACTGTCTGGTTCAAAATCAGACACCTGGCAACCCTACAGGCAGCCAATAGGAGCTTTGAATACATTAGCCCTGCTTAGCTTGCCACCAGGTGAGGACAAACCTTTAGGTAAAAAAAGATATGCACAAAGACTGCTTTAAAATCCCTTCTCTCTGAAGCTTTGTTCCTACTCTAAAAACAATCAATGCTTTGGCTTTAGAAAGGCTGTTTGGCTGCTATATTCACCACTGGCCACAGGAGTAAAGGGAAGACCCTACTGGTGCCAGATACTAGTCAGATCTACAGGGTAAACATGGTCAATACAGAGTGCTGTGGCCCTGGGTCCAAATCAAAACATGTAAATTGTAGAATGGCATCTCAGGAGAGATAAAGGCAGGAGGCATGTTGACTGTGAGGGTGCTCTCTGGGGCTAGGACTACACTGCATTCTAAACTTGAAATAAGATACACAATTTGCACTACGCAAATTGCGTACTTATTTCGAAATAAAGTGTTATTTCGAGTCATCCCTTAAGCACTGTGGAATTAGGGTTACCGGAATGCTGAAGTAGCGCGCCCATTATTTTGAAAAATATTTTGAAACAACAGGTGGCTTGTGAAGACGTGGGGGAGCTATTTCAGGATACCTCTGGTATCCCGAAATAGCACTGCAGTGTAGCCATACCCTGGGAGACCAGGCAGGAAACAGAGACTCAGCTAACCCTGTAGCCATGACAGAAACTTCCAAGGAAACAGGTGCTTGCAGGAAATGGTGCTTATGATTCAGCAGATGGCACTCTTCCCTTTGAGTCAGTACTGAACCAATACCCCAACATGATGTTAGGGGTCACTGTGCTAATGGACAGATCATCGTTCAAAAGGAGACAGAGAACCAAGTTCCTGACTGCTTTTGGTTAGGCAAGATCAGACACAAAGAATGGGTGTGAACATGGGTGCCTTGGTCAGATTTTAAGGTGGATAATTATAGAGAAGTTTAAGAAAATTAAATTAGAGAGAAATTTAAGAAGAACTGGAGAAGTTATTCATCAGTTCCTAACACCCTTCTTCCCATCAACACATTACACACACATGCTTGTGGATACACAGTAGCAAAAGACGCACACATATGCACACTCACATACTACATGTACGCAGTAGCTGCCATGCATTTTACCCCAGGCGTGGTTGCCTTTCAATGAGGAATGGGCTATCTGGATTTGGACTACACAAAGCATGCCAAGATCCCTCTCTCACTAACTAACAATTTCATGCTGCAATCACTTTGACGACACCCTCTTGGGCAATAGTTTCTGTGAAACAGAGGTGCATCAGTAAA